TGAGCTGCCCTGAGCGGCCATCCGATGGCCAGCGACTGATCTGCCTCAGCTGGGAAGAGTGCAATGATCACAATACCAACATGGGCCAGTGAAGCGACGTCCTCCACAACAAAACTGAAGAACAAAAGGATAGCAACTTGTCTGTTTCCCTTCCCCGATTCCCCAACCGCTGTTCCATCCCCCAAGTCCCCAAAATCTTTAAAAAAAAAAAAAAAAGGAAAGAATGGCCAAAATCTTCCCAAACATGGTTAAAGACATATATTTACAGATTCAAGTAAAGACACTCAGATGATGTGGGGGGAGGAGAGGAGCATGCTAGTATATGAGATTGGGGTTGGGGGCACAGAGAAGTTAAATAAATGAAAGCTAAATTCTCATATTCCATACTGGTAAACCAATAGTTAATACCTCAAACTAAAATATCAAGAAATGTTCAAGTAACTTGTTTAGAAAAAACAGTAAGTATCTTAAGAGTCAGCTAAGAGTTCAAAGTGGTTGCCTCAAGGGGAGGGAAAAATGGGGGGTGAGAAAGGCAGATTATTACTCTAATCTGTAACAAGCCTTGTACATGTGTTTGACTCTTTGAATTATGGGCATGTACAACTCCAAAAAAATAAGTTTAAAAGATTTATACACTACTGTCTACTTAAAGATGGCAGTGTGATGAATACCTACTGGAAAACACTTAATATTGAGTTACTGGAAAAGTTTTAAGTTCTAAGTAAACTAATATTTATCTTTAAATATAAGTAAAGGTAACAAAAATATGGAAGTGAGCCTAAAAAATATGAGGCAATTAGCCTAAAAGCCATGTTACTCTTATTTCCTCTGTTTCCTTTTACTGAATTTTCAATGTAAGTCATATTTGGGGTGGGGGGGAGTGGCGGGCAGAAATGGTTTAATGCAGACAAGTCCCATGCTCTTTTGCTTAGTAACCTCAAAGAATATGTAGACTAGGCTCGGAGAAGTAGAAGGTGGCCATGTGGATTTGAATGGTGCATACTGAGTGGACTGAAATGGACTTCTGAAAAACTGGCATGCAGTAGATTGCAATGTATAATTCTACTCCATGAACATTTCAGGAAACTCTGCTTCAGTCCAGTACCCCTTTCCACTAAACAGAAATGACAACTGAGTTTTCAAATAGCTGTAGAATTAAATATCTTAATTCTTGATAACTCTATAAATACCTCATTTCTTGATTCTATATAAACCCAAGTCAAAATCAGCTTAAATAAAAGTCTCTTCTATACAAATGCTGGCATATTCGATCAGAGCACTAAATTTAGACATTAACCATATTCCTTTTTACCTCTTACCACAAGTAATAAGCAATTACTCCTAATAATGCCACCAAAAGAAAGAAAAAGTATGTCTTTTTAAAAGTTGTTTAGTAAACAACTCAAAATACATACTTAACGCATACAAATCCAGTCCCTTTGTACTTCACACAACAACACTGGTCATTACATGGTCAATGGCTTACGTGATGAAGTCATATTTTGGTTGCTATGACCATCAATCATTTTTAAAATCTTCTACGACTGACGGTTCTCTGTATCTTTAAAATTGTTGCGAACATTCATTCCCACCCAATAAAAAAAATAAAATAAAAAAAAATAATACTTTCTGGCAATTGATTTTGAAAGTAAGATATAAAAGAAATATGCTGTACATAAGTTTCATGCCATAAATTCTTTTAATAAAACTATAGCTAAATGCCTATTAACCATAAGAAAAACTCCCGTATGATGCTACTGAGGCACTACAAAATCTGAACAGGTACAACAGCATGTGTGTAAGCCAGTACAGTAAGCTAGTCCCTCCAAATAATAAAATCAAAATATAAAGAATCGCATGAGTAATAAACAAGCCTTGTATACCATTATAAATCACTTCTATCAAGCTTAGGCTTTCTTTGTAATCTTTTAATGCATCGCTTTGACTATGAACCACACATAAAATACTTCAACTAATAAAAACATCCAATTCTATATGAATAGGTTGGGAATCTTAGCTTCCATTTTCACTGTGAATGACTACATAGAAGAATTTATTTAGCTGCATTTCGTCCTGTATTTATTCACCTCCTATCACTTCAAACTTCAGCCTCAACAAAACAGTGGTGATTAAATCAGATGGCAACTGGTTGACCCAGCAATTTGGGTCACAAGCATGGAGGTGATGATGAGCCTTAGGGACTCTCCCATAGACCGCAACTATAAACCCTGGATAAAATATAAGGACTCCAGAATTAACAAAAGCAAGCAGATTTTGAAAGGGAGTTCAAACTTGTAGGAAGCGTGACCGATAAAAGGTGAGTTGCTCATTTTTCTGGCTTTATCCTGAGGGCAGGATGCAGCTGCAGGGTGGCTTACACTTCAATAGAAAATATGCCATTTTTCTGGCCTGAAAGAACCAGAGGACAAAGCTCAGGACAATAACAGCTGCCAGAAGGGAGAGCTCTAGAGAAAGGGAGTCCCAAATTCTATTCCAGTCAACTCTATCCGAGTCCTGGACCACACATTCATGGGGCAGAATCAAGCGTTCTGGCTAAGGCTAAAAGCAATGAACTGAAATTTGAGCTGCTACCCACCACAGGTGAACTAGAGTTTGCAATTTGAGTCTAAGCCAATTAACTGGCTGCTAAACCCAAAACATCAACACACTTCAGAGGAATAAAACAGAACCCAGACTCTCCACAACATAACAGTCCCAATGCCCGGGATAAAATCCAAAGTTATTTTCAGAAAAATGTGGCCTAGTCTCCAAAGAAAATCAACAGATGCCAACCCTGAGATAACCCAGATATTGGAACTATCAGGACTTTAAAGCAGCTATTATACCTATGCTCAGTGAGGTAAAGGAAACATTTGTAATCAATGAAAAGGTAAGAAATCTCACCAGAGATTCAGAAAATATAAAGGGAACCAAATGGAAATTCTAGAGTTGAAAAAATACAATATCTGAAATGAATTTACTGGATTAGTTTAATAGCAAAAGGTAGATGACAGAGTCAGTGAACTTGAGCCTACACATCACTAGAAATTATACAATCTGAAAAAAAAGATTGAAAAAAATAAATGAACAAAGCCTTAGGACATTATCAAAATACTAACTAACATGCATGTAATCAGAGTCATGTTCAGAAGGAGAGGAGAGATGGGAGGGAACAAATATTTAAAAGAAATAATGGCCAGGGCGGCCGAGTGGCTCATTGGTTAAGAGTTGGCTTGGGAGCGCGAGCTCTGAGCAGCAGGGCCATCGGCTCGGATCCCACATGGGCCAGTGACTCTGGGCCCTCTACAGNAAAAAAAAGTGTAAATCTCACACACATACACAGATAAAGCAAATACTGCAAAACGTGAACAATTTGGTGAACAGATGAAGAGTATTTGGGTATTCATTGTATTTGTCTTTCAACTTTTCAACTGGTTTGAAATTTTTCAAAATAAAAAGTTGGGAGAAGTAAAAGTATGGAACAAAAACAAAGACAAGGTAGTATTCAATTTGAATCTAAACAGAGTAGAATAGACAAAATATACCTAAAAACATTAGTAAAACTAATTAATATATTAATAAAATACACATATTTTAAAACTATTTCACCTCAAGAAAAAAATAGGTAGTTTTAGTATTACCACAGCTTATCTACACATGTAAATATTTGTAAAAGCAGAGGAAATATTCTGAAAGAATGTTATTAGCTTTTACATGCAGATCCAAGTAGGTGAGAGATGGGCAGAGAAAACTATATTAACTACTAATAACAAACCAAAAAAAAATTGATTTAAATGGTGGCTTGATCCCAAATTTTACTTAATACTCTAGACATGACCAAAACGCCAATTTTTTAAAAAAAGAAGATAATCCCTAGTCACATTTTCTGCTAAAAGCCAGACTCATAAAAAAAAGAAGGCAAAAATGTACATTGTCTTACTTCTTCAATTATGTTGTTGATTTCAGGTGCTGCTTTATCTGCTCGCTTCTTAATCTGTCTTTTTGCTTTGTTTACACCTTTTTCAACTTTCTTCCAGTCGATCTGCACATAGCCACTGTGACTAGCAATCTACAAAAATGTAACAAAAATGGTTAATTCTAAACCAACTAGGCTGCTAATGAATCTATTACCCAGTAATATATATACATTCAGATTTCAAAAAAATCTATGAAGCTTAGAAGACATGACAATTTATTCACTAATTTATTCATTTAACAGATACTGAGTACCTAATCTGTGCTAAACACTGTTCTAGGCCTCCAAACTATA